TTGTATGTATCTTAAGAGTAACACAGTTACAGTGTTCTGTGTTTTTCTGTGTACTTACTATTACTAATGAGTTTTGTACTTTCAGATGATTTCTTCTTGATTGTTAACATTCTTTTCTTTCCAATTGAACTCCCTTTAGCATTTCTTGTAGGACAGATCTGGTATTGATGAAATCCCTCAGTTTTTGTCTGTAAAAGTCTTTACTTCTCCTTAATGCTTAAAGGTAAATTTTTCCGGATATATTATTCTAGGGTAAAAGTTTTTTTCCAGCAGCACCTTAAACATGTCCCTCTCCCCTGGCCTGTAAGGTTTCCATGGAAAAGTCTGCTGCCAGACATATTGGAGTTCTATTGCATGTTATTTGTTTCTTTCCTCTTGCTGCTTTCAGGGTTCTTTCTTATCCTTGATCTTTGGGAGTTTGATTATTAAATGCTTGAGGTAGTCTTTGAGTTCAATCTGCTTGGTGTTCTATAACCTTCTACTTGAATATTAACATCTTTCTTTAGGTTTGGGAACCTCTCTGTTATTATTCTTTTGAATAAACTTTCTACCCCTATCTCTCTCTCTCTACCTCTTCTTTTAAGCCAATGACTCTTAGATTTGCCCTTTTGAGGCTGTTTTCTAGATCTTGTTGGTATGCTTCATTGCTTTTTATTCTTCTTTTCTTTTGTCTCCTCTGGCTATATATTTTCAAATAGCTTATATTCAAGCTCACTAATTCTTTCTTCTCCTTGAACGATTCTGCTATTAAGAGACTCTGATGCATTCTTTAGTAGTAAGTTGCATTTTTCAACTTCAGAATTTCAGCTTATTTTTAATTACCTTAATCTCTTGGTTAAACTGATCTGATAGGATTCTGAATTCCTTCTCTATATTATCTTGAATTTCATTGAGTTTCTTCAAAATAGCTATTTCAAATTCTCTGTCTGAAAAGTCTAGAGGTATAGATATATGTGATCTTTCTCAGAGACATAGAGAAAGATCACATATTTCTATCTCTCTAGGATCAATCCCTGGTGACTTAATTAGTTTGTTTAGTGAGGTCATGTTTTCTCGAATGGTCTTGGTGCTTGTGGATGTTCATTGGTGTCTGGGCATTGAAAAGTTAGATATTTCTAGTAATCTTTGCAGTCTGGGGCTTGTTTGTACCCATCCTTCTTGGGAAGACTTTCCAGGTATTCGAAGAGACTTGGGTGTTGTGATCTAAGTTTTCAGTCACTGTAGTCATATCTGCAGGCACCTCAGGCCCAGTAATGCTGTAGGCTCTTATAGACTTGCAGAGGTACCACCTTGATGGTCTTGGATAAGATCTGGAAGAATTGTCTGGATTACCAGGAAGATATTCTTGTTCTCTTCCCTTACTTTCTCCCAAACAGACAGAGTGTCTCTGTCTCTGTGCTGAGCTACCTGCAGCTGGGGAAGGGGTGGCATAAGCACCCCTGTGGCCACCACCACTGGGACAGCACTGGGTCAGACCTGAAGCCAGCACAGCACTATGTCTTACCCAATGCCCATTCTGACCACTACCTGGCTGCCACCTTTGTTCACTCAAGGCTTTAGGGCTCTACATTTAGCAGGCGGTGAAGTCAGCCAAGCTTGTATCTTTCCCTTCAGGGCAGCAAGTTCCCCCAAGCAGGTCCATAGATACCGTTTGGGAACGAGGGCCTGGAGTTGAAAATCTTAAGAATCTGCCTGGTGTTCTATTCTACTGCAGCTGAGCTGCAGACAAAGTCAAAAGACAATTCTCTCCCACTCATCCCTCCCCTTCCCATAGGCAGAGGAGTCTCTCCTGATGGCCACCACCATCACCACAGGTGCACGGGGAGTATTGCCTGGCTACCAGCAACGTTCATACAAGGTCTAGGGCTCTTCAGTAAGCTTGTGATGAATGCTGCCAGGCCTGGGACTCACCCGTCAGAGCAGTGGTCTCCCCTTGGCTCAGGGCAGGTCCAGAAATGCTGTGCAAGAGCCAAGGCCTAGAATCAGGGACACTGAGAGCCCACTTGGTGTTCTGCCCCACTGTGGCTGAGCTGGTAGCTGAGCTGCAAGACAAAAATCCCCTTTCCTTTTCTGCCTGCTTTTCTCAAGTAGAAGGAGTGTCTTCCCATAGCCACCACCACTGGGAATGTGCTGGGTCACACCTGAAGCCAGCACAGCTGAGAATCTCACTCAAGACCCGTAGAGTGTACTACCTGGCTACTGCTGCTGATTATGCAGGGCCCAAGGGCTCCTTAGTCAGCAGATGGTGAATACTATCAGGACTCGATCCTTTCATTCAAGGAAGCAGTTTCCCTTCTGGCCCAGGGTATGTCTAGAAATGTCATCCAGAAGTTAGGTACTGGAATGGGTGCTTCAGAACTCTGCCCAGTGCCCTAACCTACTGTGGCTGAGCTGGTATCCAAGTTGCAAGACAAGTCCTGTTTACTCCTTCTCTCCTCAAGCTGAAGGAAGGAGTTTCTTTCAGAACTGTGAGTTGTACTGCCTAGGGTTGGGAAAGGGGTGATGCAAGCACCCCCTTGGCTGTCTCAGCAGGTCACATGCCCCTCAAATCCACTGGCTCCAAGCGCAGATCAGCACTAGGACTTGACTAGGAGTTGTAATCCTTGTGGCTTATATTGCCTTTCAAGTTTATTTAGAACCCCAGAGCCCTTTGGCCTGTGGTGACGAGGCTTGCTGAAACTCAAGTTCCGTAATTGGGATGGATGATTCCCTCTGGCAAGAGCTGGTCTAAATTCTCCCAAATGAGTATTAGCTGAGTTCTGCTTTCCATGGTAACAAGGCAACAGAGTTCTAACACAGTCCTGCAATTACTACATTCTCCCTACACAGATTTTCTGTGCCATGTGGCTGCTGCCAGGGAGTGGGGAGGCATGGCTCTGACAATTCAAGACCATCTTCCCTACCCTCTTCAGTGCCTCTTTCAGTAAGATAAAATTAAAACCAGGTACTGCCGGGCACAGTGGCTCACGCCTTAATCCCGGCACTTTGGGAGGCTGAGGCAGGCAGATCACAAGGTCAGGGGTTCAAGACCAGCCTGGCCAACATGGTGAAACCCCGTCTCTACTAAAAATATAAAAATTAGCTGGGCGTGGTGGCATGCACCTATAATCCCAGCTACTCGGGAGGCTGAGGCAGGAGAATCCCTTGAACCTGGGAGGCAGAGATGGAAGGAGCCAAGATTGTGCTATTGCACTCCAGCCTAGGCAATAAGAACGAGACTCCATCAAAAAAGAAAAGAAAAAAACCAGGTACTGCAATCACTGACCTGATTTTTGGTTCTAATGAAGTTGCATTTTTTGTGTAGATAATTGTTAAATTTGGTGTTCCTGTGGGAAAGACAATTGGTAGAAGCTTCTATTCTGCCTTCTTGCTCTGCCTCCTGCATTTTTGACACTTTTTTTACTCAGAAATAACTAGAAGAGTGGACTGTGTGTACTCAACAGTTTTTGTTTCTCTGTTGCTCTATAATTAGATAACTTCACTTCTTGAGCTCTTTCCTTGCAACTATATCTAGCTGCTACCAGGTCAACAGTGAGGCCATTGTGATGGTCTTTGCAGGATTCTAGGGATAGGTCCCACAGAGGCAGAACAGAACTAAGAACACTCAGATTCACGGAGGTAGACTTTCCATGTTTCCCAGTCCCTTTGAACACCTTTCCTATGCATGAGGAATTTCCCGCATTATGGGTTCCTCCTCTTCAAGGCACAAACCAGAAAACTCACTTTCCCATGTAGCTGCAGTACAGGCATATGGGCTGGGCTCTACCAATCAGACGCAAAATAAACATAATTTTAATTCTAAGTAGAGAAAAGAGAGGAAGCAAGCATCATGCAGGATCCATTTCCCGGCAAGTGTGGCCACAGAAGCAGCCTGCTTTGGGGGGCAGCAATAGCGGGGGTTGGGCAGCGAAGGCGCCGTTTGAGATGCCTGTGTCCATGGCAGTAGTAGAGGCATTGCCACTGGACAGTGGCCACCATTCCTAGGTGAAAGCGTCCAAGCCTAATTCCCTGGTCCTCCCAGTGGTTCCATAAGCTATGTAATGTCCCATAATAGATTCCTTCCTGCTTATATAGGATAGAGAGGGTTCTGTTGCTTGCACTGAGAGTCCTGAATGAATCACCCACTGTATTAGTCAGAGTTCTCCAGAGAAGTAGAACCAATTGAATATATTATTTTTTTCCAATAATCAAATAATACAGGGGTTTGTGTATATTTGATTATGGGAACTCAAATAATAATATACATATATTCTATTGGTTACATGTGTAGGATGTGCAGGTTTGTTACATAGGTAAACATGTGCCATGGTAGTTTGCTGCACAGATCATCCCATTAACTAGGTATGAAGCTCGGCATCCATTACCTATTCTTCCTGGTGACCCACTTCCCACCCTCCAACAGGCCCAGTGTGTGTTGCTCCCCACTGTGTGTCCGTATATTCTCATCATTCCACTCCCACTTATGAGTGAGAACATGTAGTATTTGGTTTTCTGTTCCTGTATTATTACTGAGAGAGGTAGAAATAAATATACATATTTATTATATGTCCTATAATGAAATATATATGTATATATTCAGTCTTGAATATATATATGGAAGAGAGATATATATATATACATATATCTCCTCCATATCCATGAGTATATATATATATGTATGTGTATATATATATACCTCTCCTCCATATCTGTAGATATAGATATAAATATAGATACAGATCCTCCATATCCATGGATTCCATATTTGTGAATTCAACCAACTGCAGATCAAAATATTCAAATAATAATACAATAAAATAATACAAAGAAAAGTACAGTATAACAACTAGCATTTACACTCTATTAGGTATTATAAGTAATCTGGAGATGGTTGAAGGTATACAGGAGACTGCACATGGGTTACATGTAAATACTGTACTGTTTTATATAAGGACTTGAGGAACTACATATTTTGATATCTATAGAAATCCCTGAAGCAATTCCTCACAAATACCAAAGGATGGCTGTATGTAGCTTTATTTTTAGTCATTGGCTCACACAGCTGTTGGGGTCGGGAAACCTGAAACCCATGGGGCAGACTAGCAGGCTGGAAGCTCAGGCAGGAGTCAATGGCTACGGTCTTGAGACAGAGTTTCTTCTTTTCCAGGAAACTGCAGTTTTTGTTCTTAAGGTCTTTCAACTAATTAGGTGCGGCTCACTCAAATTATTTAAGTAATCTCCTTTACTTAAAGTCAACTGATTGTAGATGTTAATCATATCTACAAAATACCTTCACAGCCACACCTAGATTAGTGTTTTATTAAACAACTGGGTGCTACAGCCCAACCAAAGTGACAAATAAAACCAACCATCACAGCCACCAAATCAGAACTCCAGGGACAAGTGTTCCAATTACAAGCATTAAGTTTCTTCACTCTGAAGAAGCTTTCTAGGTGCATTTAGCCTGTTTCTTTTCACAAAACTTTCACATGCAATTGTCCATACTAAGCAAAGTCTACCTAATCTAGGCACCTGCATTCAGGAGATGAATACTCTGGAACCTGTCCCGTGCTTCCATCCCCAAAGCCCTTCCTCTGGCCCCAGCTGCCATCAGCTCCTGGATGGACCACAGCTGCAGCCTCCTCAGTTCTGCCAGCTTCCTGTCCTCTGCTGTCGTCCACCCTTCCTGAGAGTGATCTCTCTAAAACATTCGTCTGATTATATCTTCACTGATTAAAAGTCCCTCCAGCCCATTAAAGTGCTTGTGTCACTCAGTCCAGCAGCTATAAAGGCTTGATTACAAGCAACAGACACAAACTCCAACTGATTTAAGCAAAAGAGGAATCCCTGGAATAGGCCACTGGATGGAAGGAAAAGCTAAAGTCTTCAGAAGGGCAGGAATCCAGGCTGCCCTGGGGATCTCAGAAGCAGGAACAAATGGACCATCTTGTCAGACCCAGCTGTGGGGATGAATCAGCGTCAATGACCTCAATATCCAAGGGCCAGTTTTGAAGGAGAAGGTGTCTGATTGCTGGGGATTGATTCACAGGCCCACCCCTTGGCCAGAATGCACCCCTGATAGAACCACCAAGACTGAAATTAATAAGAGAGGAGAGTACTCTCAAGCAAAGTAAGAGGTATTAGCAGAAGAAGGGAAACAGAATCTGCAAGCAAGGACAGGGCACAACCTCTTTATGGACACTTCCAGCACGCAAAGGATCTTTCTACGTCAGAGCAATTGCGAGAGCAGGGAAGGATTGCATTCTCTGCATTCAACAGGAACCAGAGGAATGATGGGAGCAGTTTCCAGCCAACTGAGGAGAAACAGGAGTTTCTGGACTATAAGATAGGAGACTTAACCCCAAGGACTTCCCTCAACCCCTCATTTTACCACTGTCTCTTCTCTCTGCTTCCTATAGAGATCCTGAGGAAAAGGTCTCGGGGCTGGAGTGGAGGGACAGGGGACTGTCTGCCCTGAGATCACTGCTATTGGGTCTCTGGTCTTGAGACTGCAGGAGGGGAGGACAGAGCAGAGGGGGTTAGAAGGGAAGTCACACCCACCTTGCATATATCTTATTTCATCGTTTCCTTATTTATTGTCTGTTTTTCTGCCACTAGAGTGTGAGCTCCCGAAGGGCAGAGCCTTGTCTGCATTGATTACTCACTGCTGTGTCCCCACACCTGTTAACAGGAACTGGCGCACAGTAAGCACTTAGGAAAATACACATTTGGGACTGAATGAGCAGCCTGAATATAAGGTGGAGGCTGCACTCCACCATTCTGTCTCTGACCCTGAGCCAGACAGGCCTGGAATTGAGTCAACCCGGAAATCAAGAGGAGCACAAATTCTGGACTCAGCCTGAGCTCTGAAGGTGCTTCCTTGGTTTTGAAATGGAGATTATACCACGCACTTCACACTGTTGGTGTGAGAACAAATGAGAATTAAAAGTGTGAAATTGGCACACAGTATGTGCTCGCCTCCCTGGTGCCTCCTCTGTTGTACGCTCTGCAAGGGAGGAAATTGTTTTAATCAGATGGTGGGAACTGAATGTTACATCTCCCGGGGCTGGGGCAACGGGTATTTTAGGAGAGCATCCTGAAAAGGCCAGTGCCTGGCCCGCAGGGAGAAATGAAGCGCGAGTGGTAACACATCTACACAGTGATGGGCCCAGGGATCCCAGCGGAGTCTCGTGCTGCAAACTCTAGCACACCCAGCTTCGGCCAGGAGAAAGGCTAGCCACATTCCTGTGTTGCCTCTGCCTTGGGGGACGGGGCCAAAAGAGATATGTAACAGGCAACTTTAGAAAGTGAATTTTATTAGCTTCATGAGAAACAGCTGCCATAAGTGAAGACCTGGATGGGAACAGAGCTCTGGCAGCTTCCAACCAACGGCATGAATAAAGCCCACCTGTTCTCTCTACATCCTCAGAGCAGGATGTAAGGGGGATCCCAAGAGGAAAACCCCACCTCCTTCCCCCCTCAGTGCAGGCACAGATTCAGGGAATACATTCTTGTTGGACATTCTTGATCACCCGCTCTATGATATCTCACTAAACAGGAAAATGAATCAAATCCACATTCTAGACATTCAGATGCTGACTGATTTGGGATAGAAGCCACTGTTCTGGATCATCAGCAGCCAGGAACACAAAACTCTGAATCACCAATCAGAAAGTCAAGATTCTGGAATGCAAAATAAGAACCCCAGAACTTTCTAGAAGACTTCATCAGGCGCTCCACATTCTAGAATGCCGGTGTTACAAATCAACCAGCAATCTGACATTCTAGGTTGTCAACTAAGAACCCAGTATTCTGGCAGGCCAAATGAGAACCACTCCTAACCATCTGAAGGGCTAACAAGGAACTCGGCATTCTGGAAGGACAAACAGAATCGCAATAGTGCAGATAACGAGTGAGACTCAAAAATTCTAAATGTCAACCCCAACACTCACCATGCCAAACCAGAAAATGAGCATTTGAGACTATCAACCCTGGCCTCGGCACTCTGGAATGTCAAGCACAAAGCTCTCCCCTCCAGAACGCTGCTTTCCTGCCCCTCAGAGCTCTGTGGACGGTCGCTCCACAGCAGGCCCCTCATCCTGACTGCCGTCTGGCACACGGAAGGAAACGTAGGGACAGGTCTTGGTGTTGAGGCAGACCAGCTTCTTCAGTGTGGCCGTCTTGACGATGTTAAAGCCCATCTCGCCGCCAAATGTGCTCGGCTTCCAGTATTCCGGAGAACAGATGGGATTCCCTAGGAGACCCTTGAGGGAAAAGGGAGCCCCAATCTCTATCATACTCTCCCCAAAGATAGAGTTCGGATGGCACTTTTCAAGAAGCAGCCCAGGATAGAACTCCAATGCATCAATGTCTCCATACAACTCCTCCAACTCCGCTGCCATCTCCTTCTCTCCTACAAGGAGAAAAGGGGAAAAGGCTAGCGTCAGATCCATGATGCCATTAAGGTCAACCTGGGGTGGGACCCTTCCAGGTCTACCTTTTTCTGGGGATAACAGGGACTCCAGGAGAATAACTTGAGCCACTGGGCATGTGCCCTAGAATTTGGCCTGGCTGATACTGGAGAAAAGGGTCAAGAAGAAAAGCACAAATTGCCCCTCCTCAGGGACTGGGTCTAGGAAAGGAAAATGCTACTAAAGAGAAAGTCTGGGGCCTCCATCTGTCACCAAACAGCCTGTAGCCTTAAGCAACTCAACCCACATCTCTGGGCCCTAATTACCTGATCATTGCAGCAGGGAGAATGCTCCCCATCTTGCTTCCTTCATAGGCAGATTTCAAGACCTTAACCTGGGCCAAGCCCTTTCATTACTAGAGCTCAAAGATGTAACATGTCCAATCTCAACAGAAATTCAGTGGCAGTGTTCCTTCTGCCCCTGGGGACCATTTGTCATGTAAAGAATAACAAAGATTGCTGTTCCAGGATCACAGGAAAATCATGCACTGATCCCAGAATCTGCTCCACTCTGCAGTACCCACATGTTCACAATGGTGGCCAAGGGGAGACAGATGTGGAGCTTCCCTCCTTCCCTGCCTGGTTCCTCATATCCGTCCTCCAGTGGGAACTCTCACAAGCCATGTCACGCCCTGCCTCAGTGGCTCCCCATTATATGTGACAAGCGTTGGCAACTTGGCTGCCCAACATCTGAGGATCTCAGGGGAAATATATGTGTGTGTGTGTGTGTGTGTGTGTGTGTGTGTACATGTGTGTGTGTATAGATGTATAGGTATGTATGTATGTACATATATATATATATATATATATGTATATATAAATATACTCTATTCATATGAATATGCAGATTCAGGGCACCACCCAGGCTAGTTGAACCAGAATCTATAGCAGAGACATCTGAGATTTGGTATTTTAATCAGTTTTCTAAATGATTCTTATGCAGCTGGCCCATAAGTGGGTACTTGGAAAGCACTAGACAGAATAAAACCCAAAATATTTAGTATGTAAACCAAGATTCTACATGGTTGGGCACCAACCTCCCATCACTAATCACCGCTACCACATAAGATCCTTGTTCCAGCCACATCTACAACTGTTTCCCCAGATACCTGCTGTCTGACCTCTGTGCCTTTGTACTTTCTGTTGCTCTACCTAAAATACTCCTCCCTCTTTTCCCACTGGAAAACGCCATTTATTCTCCAAACCCAGCTGAAAAGTCACCTTCTCTCCCCAAGCAGGATTATTTACCACCCAGCATGGCGCTTCCACACCCGTTGTAAGTCTGGTTACACATTGCCACAGGTATTGTCCCGTTCTGTTTCCTTGATATCTCCCTGACTTTGCTGCCAGTCCCTCAAGGGCAGGGAGTGCATCCAGGAAACAGCTGCTCACCTACAAGCTCCTGGAAGGAGGTATAGGGCTTCATGCCAAACCTCTTGCGGTACTCATTGAAGGGCTGCAGCCGCAGCTCCCGAGACTCCCTGATGACATCCACAGCCACATGCAGGACGTGGTGGTCCATGTTCCTGCCCCCACCGATCTGCCGAGAGATAAGCACAGCAGTGGTCTGGGAGTCCTCCGATGGGAAGCCTGGGTAAGGTCCTGAGGCAAGAGCTTCCAGTGAGAGTCCTTTCTGAGCTAGGATGGAGAGCGCTGAGCAGCCTGGCAGCTGTGATGCTACAGACCTGGCCCCAGGCCTGCTGCTGTCATGTTCTCTCAGGAAACCCCTCTGAGTCTCAGCTTCCTCATTTTTGTGGGCTTTTTTTTTTTTTTTTTTTTTTTGAGACTGTGTCTCACTCTGTTGCCCTGGCTGGAGTGCAGTGGTATAATCTTCGCTCACTGTAGCTTCACCTTCTCAGGCTCAAGCGATCCTCCCAGTTCAGCTTCTCAAGTAGCTAGGACTGCAGGCAAGTGCCACCAAGCCTGGCTAATTTTGTTTTATTTTATTTTTGTAGAGCAGAGGTCTCACTATATTGCCCAGGCTGGTCTCAAACTCCTGGCCTCAAACGATCCTCCTACCATGGCCTCCCGAAATACCGGGATTGCAGGCATGAGCCACCAAGTGTGGAGTGGGCCAGGAGGACCTCTCTTGTGGCTCACACTGTTCCCTAATCCTTTGAATTACACCAACAGGTGTAATTTCCCAAAACAGGATTCAAAGCCCAGGTAGCCTGGTGAGATAAAGAAGGCTGAAGAAAAAGATTCTGATTACTAACAGTTAAGGCACATTAGTCTAAAGAAAGCTCTGGTGCTGGCCAGGCACGGTGGCTCATGCCTGTAATCCCAGCACCTTAGGAGGCCGAGGCGGGCAGATCATTTGAGATCAGGAGTTCAAGACCAGCCTGGCAATATGGCAAAGATTCATCTCTACTAAAAATACAAAAATTAGTCTGGTGTGGTGGTAGGTACCTGTAATCCCAGCTACTTGGGAGGTTGAAGCAGATGAATCACTTGAACCCAGGAGGTGGAGGTTGCAGTGAGCCAAAAATCACACCACTGCACTCCAGCCTGGGCAATAGAGCAAGACTTCACCTCAAAGAAAAAAAAAAAAAGTGGCTCCCGCCTGTAATCCCAGCACTTTGGGAGGCTGAGGTGGGTGGATCAGGAGGTCAGGAGTTCAAGACCAGACTGGCCAACATGGTGAACCCCATCTCTACTAAAAATACAAAAATTAGTTGGGCATGGTGGCAGATGTCTGTAATCCCAGCTACTGGAGAGGCTGAGGCAGAGAATTACTTGAACCTGGGAGGTGGAGGTTGCAGTGAGCAGAGATCGCACCACTGTATTCCAGCCTGGGCAACAGAGTGAGACTCGGTCTCAAAAAAAAAGAAAAGAAACAAAGAAAAGAAAGTTCTGGTGCTTAGGATGAAATAACAATGTTAATGTTTAAGAGACAGTCACTTTGATAGAACAGTAAATTGGGCAGAAAAGAAAGGCATGGTTGGATGAAATCATAAATCATACGAGCAAAGCAAGCAGAGGCTGGTGCCAATTCCAGCTTTACAAGCTACAGAGCTATTGAGGGTCGAACTGTGTTTTCCAAAATATTAAATATGTGTTGAAGTCCTGACTCTGCATCCGTGAATGCATCCTTATTTGGAAATTAGGTCTTCACAAATGTAATCAAGTTAAGATGAGATTCTACTGGATTAGGGTGGGCTCCAATCCAATAAATGGTCTTTCTAAGATGAGGAAAGACAAGCTCAGGGAGAGCACCACCGATGACAGAGGCAGAGATGGAGCAATGCCCCTGCAGGCGGAGGAACGCCAGGGACTGCCTGCCACCGTCAGAAGCCAAGGAGGCATAGAGCCTTGAGAGGGAGCACGGCCCTGCTGACACCTTGAATTCAGACCTCCAGCCTCCATCCGTTGTTCTGAGCTTCCCAGCTCGTGGTACTTTGTTGCAGCAGCCTGAGGAAACTAAGCCTAGGGACCTTGGGCAGCTGCTGGAGCTAAATTTGAGTTCCTGCATGTGTAAAAATGGGGAAGGGAAGAGCATCTACCTGATATGGCTGTGGTCAATCTAAATGAGATAAACTATGCAAAGCTGTTAGCTGTGGTCAATCTAAATGAGATAAACTATGCAAAGCTGTTAGCTGTGGTCAATCTAAATGAGATAAACTATGCAAAGCTGTTATCTCAGTGTCTGTCACATGGGAACTATCATTATTCACTCTTCTTAATATCCTGAGAGCTGCCTGTAATCCCAGCACTGAGAGCCCTAGGTGGGCAGATTGCCTGAGCCCAGGAGTTCAGGACCAGCCTGGACAACATGGCGAAACCCCATCTCTATTTTTAAAAAGATCTTGGGAGTCAATACATCTCTGCGGCCTTTCTGCCTTGTGCCAGGTACCATGCAAGGGCTTTTCACGCATATCATTATGGTCATTCCTTGAAAATGCTTTGAAAACCATCCAGCCCCACACAAAGGCCATTGTCTCTGTTCCTGTCTTGTGTCCCCGCAAAGGACCATAAAGAAACCCACAAAGAGGCCATAAAGCAGCCAGCAGCTGCCCACCGGCAGCAGCAATGCTAATTTCAGTCAAATTACCAGAAGGAAACGGAAACTCACGTGTGCCACAACTTCATGGCAGGATTTAGGGACAAGGATTAGAGAGAAGCCGAGGACTGGGAGGCAATGGGGGAGTCAGAGACTCGGATGCAGCAGACAGGAGCTTCCGAATGTGGAGAATGGGAGATCAAAGAAGGAGTTGGCTAGGAATTCCCGGGAAAAAGAATGCGTTCATTTGCCATGACAAAATACCACAGGCTGAGTTCTCAAACAGAAATTATTTCCTCCATCTGGAAACTGCAGGTTTAAGATCAAGGTGTGGGCAGGGTTGGTATCTCCCGAGGCCTCTTTCCTTGGCTTGTAGACGGCTGTCTTCTTCCTGCATCTTCACGTAGCCTTCCCTCTGTGTGCGTGATCTAATCTCCTCCTCTTCTTATAAGGACCTCAGTCACACGGGGTTAGGACCCACCCTAATGACCTCAATTAAACTTAATTACCTCTTTAAAGACCTTGTCTCCACATACAGTCACATACTAAGGTTCTGGAGGTTAGGACTTCAACATATGAACTTTGGGGGAGACTCAATTCGGCCCATAGCAGAGGCTTATGATTTAATAAACACCATAGGCAGGTACTGTTACATATGTTACCGTGCCCTGAATGTCCTCCTGTTCCTTAAATTGCCATGCCATCTGACTTCCAGGCTTTTCACCCACATCGTCCCCTCTATCTGGGACATGCCATCCCTTGCCATGAACACTACCTCTTACCCTGGGAAATCTCTCTCCCTCCTTCCAATTTCTGCTCAGACATCACCTTCTGTTCCCATAACCCCCAACTCTGGGTCAGAATTCCCTCGCTGACTCCCACAGCATGGTGGGCCTTTGTACTGTGGTTTCTAACACACTCTTAGAATTCTGATAACATAGGAGAAGCTCTGAGCACAGCGCCTTACACACAGTAAGTGCCCTAATGCTGTTAGCTGTTACATGACTGCCACCACTTTCTAGGTTGTAAGCACTAAAAGACGAGCCAAGAACCACATAGGTCCTGTTCCCACTACATCCTCAGTACCTGGAGTAATGGCTGGTATTATGGAATGAACAAATAAACAAAAGAATTCAAGCAGGAATGCTTACAACTGCCCTGTGAAAGTGACATTACCCCCATTTTACAGAATAGGAACTAGGACTTGGACCCCTCAGCCCACCTGCCCTCACCAGCACTCCTCTGGGGCTTACCCGGCCAGCTCTCTGGCGAGAGAAGGCATCCACCAGGGCCTCAACCCCGTAGTCCACCAACATGGAGGTGTTGAACAAGAACTGCTCATAGCTGTACTCCCGGGAGCCCACCCTGAAGGAGTCGGGCATGAGGGGGTGCCAGTGGTAGAGCTGGTTGAACTCCAAGGCAATGCGGTTGCGGTACTGGAACTGGACACCAAAAAGCAGCTCTGGGTCAAACTTCAGCTGCAGGAAATAGCCACTCAACTGCTGCACGTACTCCTCGATAACAATCTTGATGGTCTCTCCTGGGCAGGGGAAGATTGGAAATAAGGTCAGCCAAGCACCGTGACTTAGATGCCCAGCTTGGAAAGCAGCCCAATTTATGAAAACAGCTTGCTTTTGGTCTCTTTGTTGTTGTTGTTGATGATTGTTTTTAGCTTTAGAGACAAGGTCTTGGTCTGTCACCCAAGCTGAAGCGTAGTGGTGTAATTAGAGCTCACTTCAGCCTGGACTTCCCAGGCTCAAGCAATCTGCCCACTTCAGCCTCCCAAGTAGCTGGGACCACAGGTGTGTACCATCACACTCAGTTTTTTTTTTTTTTTTAAGAGATGGGGTTTGGCTATGTCGTCCAGGCTGGTCTCGAGCTGTGGACCTCAAGCACCCCTCTCACCTCAGCTTCCCAAAAGCCCTGGGATTACAAGTATGAGCTACCACACCTGACCTCGCTGTTGATGTCTAATTTTGTTTGGCCACTTTGATATTGTCTCCTTCTAACAGGATGTGAAAATAGAACTTCTGGTCCATTTTGACTGAGGTCTCAAGACAAGAGCACCGGCTACTCCCACATTTCAGAGGGAGGTTCTAGGCCAGCTAAGCAGGACATCCAAAGGAGGTGTCCAAGAATTGGTTTTGCGATCTCCCTCCCAAAGCCCATTAAAGGAAGTTGGAGAGACTACGAAAGATGGAAAAGTGGAGGATTTACTTGGGAAAAGTTGTCATCATGCTGACAACCTCGGTGATGGAGGGGGACTTCGAGGAGACCACTCAGAGCTACTACAGTGGCAAAAGAGATACCAAGGACAGAAGGGGAGCCTAGCCCTAAATATATTTCCAAAAACGTATTTCCTATCCGTTCTTAGATAACAGAATTCTCATAAATAAATTTTTCCTCTGCCCTCTTTGTAGCTATAACCAGCTAGAAAGCAAAAAGCCAGGGAAGAGGCAAATTGAACATTCTGTAACCAAATTAAAACTGGGCAAGTAGATATTGAAAGAAAATGATATTTAGGCCAATTAGCCATTAGACAAATTGGCTTATGCAAGTTGACTTGGAGCCATGGACTGTAGGATCGGCAGACCTGGATTCAAATCTTGGCTTTACCATTTCCAGCCACCTGAGCTTGGGCCAAGTCACTTAATCCCTCAGAACCTCACTTTCCTTAACTATAAAATGTGTGTCATAATACTATTAGTGCGGCCGGGCACTGTGGCTCACACCTGTAATCCCAGCAGTTTGGGAGGCCGAGGCAGGCAGATCATCTGAGGTCAGGAGTTCAAGATCAACCTGGCCAACATGGTGAAACACCGTCTCTATTAAAAATACAAAAATTAGCCAGGTGTGGTGGTGGGCACCTGTAATACCAGCTACTCAGGAGGCTGAGGCAGGAGAATCACTTGAACCCGGGAGATGGAGGTTACAGGGAGACGAGATTGTGCCATCGCACTCCTGCCTGGGCAACAGAGCAAGTCTCCATCTTGAAAATAAAAAAAAATAATAATATCAGTGCAATACTATTTTAGGGTTGCTGAGAGAAGTAGACAGTAAATACAGTGAAATTGCTGGCACAGCACCTGGCATGAGAGGGGATGTCCATATATGTCAGCCGGAAGTAGGAATAGTAAGTGTAGACGCAAGGGGAGAATCCCTTTCCAATACTCCCTTGTCACGGAAGATCAGAATGAGGCTTGCAACCCCTTCCCATTCAAGAAGAGCCCCCCTTGTGATGGAGTGGAAGTAGCATACATTTTGGTGGCAACCAGACCTCAAGTCTCCATCAGCTGATTGTCCCTGGAGAATTCACTTAACCTCTCTGAATCTTGATTTTCACAGGGTAATCATACCTGGCTCATGAGGTTGCAGGGGAGTTAAGTGAAGCACTGGATGTGTGGTGGCCTAGGAGTCCTGCCTTTGGTCACAGCTTCGTCACCAGCCAGTGTGCTGGGCAGCCTCCAGCTCTCTCTGGTCAAGGTCTCTGCGATGCTGAAACTTCAGAACCAGCCCCTCTTCTGTCTAATGACTTTTCCTATTCCCAGTGCCTGGCCCCTCATAGCTCCAGTAAATTAGGTCTGTAATTGGGACCAGCCATGCCCAGTGGTGCCCAGAGGTGGGGGAAGGGAGTTACTGGTGACTCATAGCGAATATGGTCTGGACAGGGATGTCAGGGGCCAAGCTCCCAAGCAGGAAACCATCTGACATTTTAGGTTGCAGACTCGCCCCCGTAGGGAACACAAAAATATCCTGTCCCTGAGTCACCTAGAAGCTACCAAACTGCAAGAAGGTAGATACATGCAGGGAAGGGAACAGGAAGATTCCTGAAGGTCGGGCAAGCTGGAGTTTGACCCTGCACATGCTGGGGACCACAAGTGTGCATCTGGGTGCAGAACACGGGGGAAACTGAGACTCAGGGTGGCTAATCAGATGTGCTATGAGTCACCCAGCTCATAATCAACCATCACAGTCATCCATTTTCTGAAGGCCTACTATGTGCTAGGTGCCTTCCCATTCATCACCTCAACAAATCCTTACAATCATTCACCCCAATGTACAGATTTGGAGACCGAGGATCACAGAGGTTGAGGGGCCTGCTCAAGGTCCTCTAGCTACTAAGCAGAAGAGCAAGGATTCTAGTCTCAGCCTCCACCTCTAAGTCCCCTACCCTCTGCATCTTGTGATGGAGGGCATGACCTTCCAAGGCAGGGCAGGTCTGGAGTCCTCACCTATGAGGATGAGGCGGGTCGTCTGGAAGAGCTGCTCATCGCCCCAGGTGGGGTGCTCAGCTTTCAGCAGGTCACACACACGATTGTGCTCGCGCAGCCAGAGCGTGGCATACAGCATGAGCCCAGGAAGCAGCCCAAACACCTCCTGGCCCACGGCCATCTGGCTCTGGGGCGGGGTGCCTCGAGGGTAGCGCATCAACACAGGCGCCTCTTCTACGGAGGGAGGGTACATTTCTCCGTCCAGCACCTGCGGGATGGGGCCGCCTGGCAACCTGGAGTTGGGGGGTCGCCTGCAGCTGCCCACAGCCGACCCCCTCCCATTCCTGCCTCCAGCTGCCAGTTCCCCTCAGCCAAGGCTGTTGACTCCACCTCCTAAGTCTCTCATAAAATCAGTCCCCTGCTCTCCATCTCTACTACCACTACCTCAGGCAACCCACCCTCATCTTCCACTCTGACTCCTCTCCCTAAGTGGTCTCCGTATGTCTACTCCTATCCCCAGACAGGCCAGTTTCTACACTGCACCCAAGCAAAAAAAGAAAGAAAAGGAAAAGAAAAAAAAAAAACAAACCTTTAAAAATAACAAAATCTTGCATCATGAGCTGACTTAAATCCTTTCCAAATACTCTCTCTGCTCTTCGCAGAAACTAGAATTCCTTAACATGGTCCCCACAGACATCTCCACCTTCCCGTAAAGTCACTCTTACCCTCCTGCTGATCACTAGGCTCAGAAAACTCTCCCATTCCTACAATCCCTCCAAGTCACCAAGCTGTCACCAAGCTACTCTCTACCTCTAAGCCTTTGTACTTGCTAAGCTCTACCTGGAAAGCCCTCTCCCATTCCTAGCATCTCTAACTCCTCCTCATCCTTCATGCAATTCTGGGCTTATTTGTAACTTCCTAGGGAAGTTTCACCCATCATCCAAACACTCTAGTGGCACTAACAGCTTCTGCTTGGTGGCAGCTACAAGTTTACCTAATTACATGGCAGCTTCTTCATTCATTCATTAAATATATACCAAGAGACTACTATATGCCAAGTATGTTCCTTTTTTTTTTTTTTTTTTTTTTTAAGATGGGGTTTCATCATGTTGGTCAGGCTGGTCTTGAACTCCCGACCTCAGATGATCTGCCCACCTTGGCCTCCAAAGTGCTTGGATTACAGGCGTGAGCCACTGCGCCCAGCTGCCAAGTATGTTCTTAGCCATAAAGATTCAGCATCGAGCTTTGCTTTGGTGCTTGCCTAAGATTTGCACGATCCAATATGGTAGCCACTAGCCAAGTGTGGCTACTGAGCACTAGAAATTTGGCTAGTGTAAATGAAGAACTGAATGTTATTTAATTTATTTGGGTTTTTTAAAATTTCTATTTGAATTTTAAAACTGATACTTCAGCTATTGGAAAACCTTTAAGTATGTGTGGAACAACTTGGGCATGTGACTCTACTTCAGCTGTACATTTTATGAAATCCAAATACAGATTCCATCACTCCAGTGAAAACTGAGCATCCAAATTGAGATGTTCTGTGAGTGTGAAAAATACACCAGATTCTGAAGCTTCAGCACGAAAAAAAGAATGTGAGCTGTTTTGTTAATAATGTATTGATTACGTGTTAAAATGCTAATAATCTGGACATATTGCCTTAAGTAAAATATATTATTAAAATCCATTTCACCTGTTTCTTTTTCCCTCTTTTAATATGGACATTAGAAAATTTTAATTATACATGCAGTTCACATTATATTTCCGTTGGACAGTGCTGATTTAGACAAAAACCCTCACAGAATGAGCATCCTAGAGTTTGTCTGTGGTTTATTGAGGCTAGGGCCCAAAACTATAATGGTCGCTGTTCAATCACCTGTGCCAGGTATATTCTCATGTCCAATTAATACTATGGAATAATTAAATAAATAAATGCAGACTACAAATGTTCATCTCCTATTGAGCTCCAAAATCCACCTCCCCAGCTGACACGAGGGTGCCACGTCTGCTCCTCATTGACTTCTTGTACCTGCTGCCTCCTCCCAGGGTATACTGTCACTCCTGGCACACGCCTCCCACTCCTGGGGCTGGCCCTCTCAGGACATGACCCAGACCCCCCAAGCAGTCTTCGCCAGGGAGACCATGGGAGACCCTCCCCTCTGCCCTACCCTCTAGCCCAGCACTACCTGGTACTTGAGTTTCCCATCCTTAAAGAGCCGCAGTTGATACTGACGCTCCAGATTGTCTCCATAAATGTGACCGAGGTCTACCTGTGGATAGAGAGGGGTTCCCTCCGGTCACCAGGGTTCTGGTCCACTGTCCATGACACGTGTGTGCCAAATTAGGTCCAAAGCAGTCCTGAACCCCTCCCAGGAACTCACCCCATGGCCCAAGGCCTTGGTGAAGCCAGGACCCATCTTGCCAGAAGTTTTGAAGAACTGGTGGGTGAAGTGTTGTGCAAAGAAGGCAAACATGAGGTTGGTTCCTTGGGGGTCAGGTATGAACTTCCTCCTGAGCAAGAAGCGGCGGGCCAGGAGCTGGGCGTCTGGCAACTGCTTCTTCCCTGGTTGGGAGGTAGGAAACAGCAATAGCTTCTCCTGTCTGGATCTTGCTGCCCTGGGGACACCTGGGCTCACCAGGCAAACTGGCCCAAGCAGGAAGCCCAGAGTGGTCTCCTCAGGACCACCTCCCCACCACCACCAGGTAACCCACTCTCTACCAAAAGACCCTAGAAGTATTTACGGGTGAAGTGGCATGATTTTTAGAATTTGATTTAAAATACTTTATAAAAATATGAGAGGAGAGAGATGAAATAAGATAAAGAAATTGTGGGTATATGTTGAAACTGAAAGATGGGTATATCATTTATTCCACTTTTCTCTCAACTTTTGTGTATATGTGTAATTATTCCATAATGAAACATTTCACCAAAAAGAAATAAAGAAACAGAAAAAAACAAACATGAACTCCCTTGCCCTAAGTCCAGGTAGCCTGCATTTGCAACTGACTATGCCATTTGCTAGCTGTGTGAACACAGATGAGTTGCCTCATCTCTCAGAGTGTCAACTTCTCCATCTTTTTTTTTTTTTTAAAGACTGGATTTCACCATGTTGGTCAGGCTGGTCTTGAACTCCCAACTTCAGGTGATCCGCCTGCCTTGGCCTCCAAAGTGCTTGGATTACAGGCGTGAGCTACCACGCCCGGCCAATTTCTCCATCTTTAAAAAAGTCCAAATGATACCCATTTGATACAGTGGATCTGAGGATTGCAAGAGATCATGTAAGCATAGCAGAGAACCAGTGGGTAGAATTTTTTAAATCAAAGGTCAGCAAGCTTTTTCTGGAAAAGCCAGGTAGTGAACATTTTATGCTTTGCAGACCATACAGACATGTCACATCTATTATAGCAGGAATGTAGTCATAGATGACACATAAACAAATGCATCTGGCTGTGTTCCAGTAAAACTTTATTTACAAAAGGGGAGGTGAGCTGAATTTGGCCTGCAGGCTGTAGTTTGCCAACCAATTTTATTTATTTATTTATTTTTGAGACAGGGTCTCACTCTATTGCCTAGGCCAGACTGCAGTGGCATAATTATGGCTTACTGCAGCTTCAACCTCCTGGGCTCAATTGATCCACCCACCTCAGCCTCTTGAGTAGCTGGGACTACAGCTGCACACCACTACACCCAGCTAACTTTTGTATTCTTTTGTAGAGAATAGGTCCCACCATGTCATCCAGGCTGGTCTCGAACTCCTGAGCACAACTGATCCACCCATCTCAGCCTCCCAAAGTGCTAAGATTACAGGCATGTGCCACCACACCTGGCCCTGTCAACCTATTTTAAATGATGCCAATCTTTCTATGTCTGACGTAAAGACAAGTCATCCTTTGAGTATTGAGATGCCTTCCTTAATTATGTCAGTTCAAATGAGTTGTTATCCAATGCCCTCACAGAAAAGAATACAATTTTTTGAGTTCTGGTAAAGGCATCTCTTCACGATGCATCATCATGTGAGCCCTGATGTTGAAGGTTCAAGATCAACAGAAATTATTTGGATTAAGATGGCTGACTGGGTTCCTCTAGCAGAAAAAAAATATCAGTACTGCTAAAGAAAATCCACCAAAAGTGAAGTTAGAGGGAGTGATCTGCCAACCAAAATTTGGAATCATCACTCACTGACACTGGGAAAGAGTTGACTTCAGCAAAGTTGGCAAGACCCAGCTATCCTGGTAGAATGGTCGTGCTTTGGGAAGAGCAGCTAACCATGTGATTGAATACCATCAGAGTAGTGCTCTCAAGACCCACATAGGGGACATTAATACAGGTGCAAGCACACAACCCGTAAAAGCACACAACCATGGGCTGCACAGGGCTGGCGTTCAACAGCGCCATCACGTGGCAGGAACTGAAGTACAGCAGCGATGGACTGATGAGCCTCTCTTGCCTTCTCTGTACTTGAAGCTGAACTGATGGGTCTCAAATGAGTAATATCCCAGGTTTTTAAATAATTAGGGGTGTCATGGGAAGGTCTTACAAAAAAAAAAACCCTGCCAGTGTAGTCAAGTGGAGTCTTGAGCAACAAAAGAAAAAAATGTGACTTATTTGTACCCTACACTGATGAAGCGTGTAAAACTATTCACATTTGTAAAGAACCAAACACAGAGTTAGCACCCAATAAATAGCTCACTATTCATTCCTTCCTACATCTCAACTTCTAAGTCACTTCCACCCTAGCAGGACCCGAGTCATCATTAGAAATGGCTTAAGCAAAGGGGCACCCTGGAACTATGGAAACATTGGTCTGACTCTGGGTGACCTCAGGCAAGACCCTCTGCTGCCCTTTCCTGTTCTCAGCCCAGGCTCTGGACATGTCATGTGTCTTGCCTTGGTCTAGCCATCTGTAGAATGGGTCAATAGTTGTTCTTTTGCTTGATTTTTCCCAAAGAGGAGAACTGAACACCTCCTGTTATCCCCAGGCCCAGCTACTCATCCCATTTTACCTTTGGTTCCCATGGGCGTGGGGCAGTCTTTAGGCACAGAGGGCAGAATACGAGTGTAATAGCTCACATTGGAGAAAGACTCCCAGCTGATATAGTCATGTGCTGCGTTGTAGGTGGGGGGACTGGGGATAAGGTTGGAGCGCACTGCAGAAAGCAAAAATATTAGCGATAAGGGTGTTTCCACCCTGAGTTCCACCCATTTCTTCCTGCCTCTTCCTGGGTTGAGGCTTATTTTATCTGGCATCATAGGTTTGCCCCACCCACTACCCCTATCAGATGCCCAGAATCCAAAGGACTAGCAGGATTGCTTGCTGCCCCAGGTCAGGGGCCCTGCCCCATACCCACCTGTGAGTACCAGGCGCATGAGCATCTCTCGGATGAAGGTGGCGTTGACAAACTCCCAGAACCAGCGCCCATGCGTGAGCAGGAAGTGAGTGAAAGAGGGGCTGGGCCGCAATGAAGTCCGGAGCCAGGTCCACAGCTCAGCTGCAGGGGCAGTGGGAGTCACTCAGTTGGTCCCTCCTGGCAGGACCCGAAGTAGCCAGGGTGGAAGATGGGGCACTGAGGACGAGGACTGGGATGGAACAGGGTGGTACCTATGGGGAAGCGGGTAAGGATGGAATCTTGGGAACAAGGACACATGACAGAGCCAGAACCAGGCATGAGGACAGGGGCCAGGGCATGGGGTGAAGACTCCCCACGGAACCCAGAAGCAGGGAGGGAGGGTGAACCAAGAGTGAGAGTTCATACTGAAGCCAGGTCAGAGACTGGGGCAGAGCCAGGTAAGGAAAGAGAACAGAGCCACGGCCAGAGAGGAGGGTAGGAAGTTGGGGTCTAGGAGAAGGGGCCCAGGGAGCAGGAAGGCTCAGGAGAGAAGGAGTGGGGGCTGAAGGCCCAGCTCACGGATGGTGCAGTTGGGGCCGGAATAGCCCGTGCGGGTGCAGTCACACTGGTAGCGGTCAAGGCCAAAGCGGACACAGATGCCCTGGTGTTGGCATGGATAGTAACAACAGGGATTCACTGTGGGTGAGAAATGGCGATCAGAGACTGTGCGGGGGTGGCCTCCTGACCCTCATCTAGCCGTGATGGGGGAATGAGGGGCCAGAAGCATGGACGTGAACTGCAGCTCCGTCCTGAATCACTGGGTGCCAGAGCTTCAGAGTTCCCCCAAGGGCCCTCCCTGTTCCCACCGCTGTGAACATAAACCCCCCACCCTGCCATTTCCAGGCCCTGCTCTGGAACTCCAGCCTAGCCCACATCAGGCCCCCAGGGGAAGTCCCCCTCCCTCCCTATTGCCACCAAATGGCAGCAGGGGAAGAGTCCAGAACCCAGGCTGTGACACTGAAGGTTAGGAAAGAGCTGATAAGGCACCACAGCCGTGGGCTTCTAGAGCATTCACTTCCTGCCTAGTCAGAGTCCAGCAGCAAGGGCTGGGGGGATGGTCAGAAAAGGGACAAGGATGAGGAGAGGGACTTCTCCCAGACCACCACCCCACGCTCTGAGCACCCGGACACTAGGAAAATGAGACGCCTCACCATCCCTCCATTTCTGCAGAAGGCAGAGAACAGCAGGTATCATAATGCCCACATTGCAGATGGGAAAATTGAGGCCAGAAAAAGGGAAAGCCAGACCAATCACCCCACAGGTCTCACCAGGCAAAACGCCCGTCACCTCCACTCCACCCCCACAGCCTCAGCAGCCAAGTCTAAGAAAGAAGTTTTCCAGAACCCTGGGGACAGAGGGTGGGTGTGCAGGAGGAGGGGAACTCAAGTTCTCAGCTGCCTCAGCACCCATTCAGGTGGGCTCAGGCTTGGCCCACATCAGGGTAGGGTCCGCACTCTGGGATCCTGAGGAAAGTCACAGACCAAGAGAATAGGAGAGACAGGGCTGGAAAACCTCCTTGGAGGACATGTGGAGCTCTGGCATCCGCCCTGCTGCCTCCTGAAGAAGCTGTGAGGAAGTCCTTCCCTGTGTCTAACCCAGATCCCTCTGACCGCCACCCCCTTGCTAAATCTGCACTGCCTCAGTGATTCTTCAGCAGCAAAGTGAGAAACTCCTCAGGTTTGGCAGGACCTGCTACCCCCCACCCCCCCGCCTCCCCTGCCACCACCCCTGCCCAGTGAAGGAAACTGAGGTTCAGGGAGAGCTGACAACTTGGCCAAGGAAACAGAACAGAGCTGGGCAGACCCAAAACTCCAGGCTCCTGGCAGGAGGCTCCTTCTCTAGCCTTACACAGAAAACGCCTGGCTCCCTTCTACAAACATACTTCCTTATCTGGCGTCAAAGCCAGCGTCATAGGGAACGTGTATTCTTTGTGCAATTGGTAACTGTGGGTCAAAAGGGTAGTGAAAGGCGGGAGCAGCTGAGGATGAAACACTGTCATTTCAGGGTGCTAAGGTCAGAGAGCATGACCCTGGGCGAGGCCTGCCCCCTAATCCCCACCCTGGTCCCAGTCTCCTCACTTTACAGCATAGGGCTTAACCTGGGCGGCAGAGTCCTTTTGGTCCCCACCTCAAAGAGGGCAACACCACCCATACACACACCCCCACACACACACACAAGCACACACACACACACATGCACACACTCACACACACATGCACACACACACACATACACAAGCAAGGACCACAAGAACTATGCAAATAGTTTTGCTTGAGGGCAACTCCCCACAGCCCCACAATGGCCCCAGCAGGGGTGTCGGAGGGAGGGATCGAGGGAAGAAGGCTGAACAAAAAGGCTTTATCAGGCAGCCACAGGCGAACCTGGCAGGCAGGATCCAGGGAAAGGGCCTGGCAGCATCCCAGACCCCGCCTCCCCCAGCCACAGGCCTAGAAAGGCCAAAGGCCTCAAGATCAGCCCCCTTGCTGGCTCAGAGACCTGGTTCCCCCAGAAAAGACTTGTCACACTTGCTGGAACTCTCCTTCTTGCCCCTCCTGCTGGTCTGGCTGGCTCACCTGCCCAGGGGCCCCTGTAGTGCCCATTCCTCAGCTCCCAACCCTGGCACCCAAGGCCCCCTAGGCCAGTCCAGCTCTATCACTCTAAGGGCACAGGGGTTAGGCCTACCCCAGGATCAATTTCCCATCCCTACCACGGCACGGATCTCAGAATGAACTCCAGAGGTCCCTGCAGCTCCAGCAATCTGCGCTAGCCCCTCCCCAAGCCCCAAACCCTCAGCGTCTCCATCCTTTACCCAGGCTGTTGGCCTCCTTAATAGATTCCCTCCAAATCAGCTGAGCCTACGCCTTGCCTCCCCCAGGAGGCTTCCCCGAATGTCTACACTCTCTCTCCTCCCACTCTCCCTTGCCCTGGCTCCGGGTCCCAGTTCAACCTGCTCTTCTCCACCGTGAGCTTCCAGGAGAAGGGACTCCCTTCCCTCCCCCAGCCTGCTCTTCCCTCAGCACAGGCTATGCACACAGCTGGGGCTCAACCCAGGTCTGGGATCCAGATGTGGTAGCCAGAGCTTAACAAATGTTTTTGGAATAAATAAAATGAAGTGGGGAGATTGGCCCACCCCCAGCCCAACCAAAGGGAGTCCCTCATCTTCCTTGCCCCCTCAGCAGCTGTCTGAGGTGGAACCGGAAGGCCTCCTGCCTTGGCCCTAGAGCTCCGTCCCAGCAGGCAGAAGAGCTGCAAGCTCTAGACGCTGAGGCTGGAGCTGCTGCCCACACCCACCCTGCCAAGAGAGGCTGTGCAGAGCTGAGGCTCCTCCCTCCCAGGCCAGCCGTCCAGCTTCCCCCTCCTTCTTCCCCACGTTCTCTCCATAAACATCAGCTGCTCTGGGGCAGGGAAAGTTCTTCCAGGAAGGACAACAGTGGGCCTGCCGCTGGTGCCCCAGGGTGTCAGGGTGGGCAGAGGGGAGACTAGGTGCCACTAGACCACAGCCGGACACTCACAGTCCAGCCAGAAAGCCGGAGCTCAGCCAACCAAGTCCACAACTTCCCACATCAGCACTCATTTATCTTCCCAGCACTCCCTAGGACAGGTAGGGGAGACTCCCCATTCTGCAATGAGGAATGCGAGGCTTGCTCGGGTTCTCCTGCTTTGAAGTTGCGGAGCCAAGACTTGAACTCCCTCCTCCTCCTCCTGGAGGTGTCCAAGATGGGATTTGGGGAAGGGATGGAAAGGGAGAGTCACTTTGATGCACAGACTGGGAATAACCCAGGTGAGGAAGATGTGTCACATTCCTTCAAAGTGAACCTCGAAAATCCTGAACGAATGAAACCAGGACCCCAGAGGGATCACCATCTCCTGCCACAACCAGACCTTTAGGAAATATTCATGCAGGAAGGCCTTGCTTCGGTCTAACTTCAGTCCTGCATGTTTTCATACCAACTCAGTTTGCTGCTCAGTGGAGGACAGCCCCGTTCACCAACAAAGAGAACCAGGGAGATGCAGGCACTGAGTCTAATTCACTTGGAGTCCCCCACACCCAGCACATGGCCAGGCACCAAGCAGTTGCTCAGGAAAGCTGTATGAGACTGGCTGCTCTGGTTGGCTGTGCATCCTTGGGCAAGTCCCTTCCACCCCTAGAACCTCAATTTTCCGTAAATCCCATGAGGTGGGTGTAGCAGGTGGGTTAAAGGAGGCCTTCCATTCCGACGACCAGGCCCTCTACTCTGGGTAGAGCCAATCTGTCCCTCTCTATTATCTGTATTGATACAACCCTCCACCCATGGCCCCATCAGCAGAGAACCTTTCTGCTTGCTCTCACTGAGTCCCCAGGACACACAGAGGCAGAGGTGACCAGCACAGCACACTGCACAGAAGATGCACGCACCCGAAAGGCTGAGCTGCTGGTCCCCGTCCCCACAGATGAGGGCTGTCCAGGACTGCCTGGTTCCAGAACCTTCCCAAGCGTTTAAGCAAGGAAAGATCCCCTAGCCCAAAAGTCAAAACTCCAGGTCCAGGACCGAGCGTGACTAAGGGACAGGCACAGCCAGGGAACACCAAGTCCTCCAGGATGCGAAGGCGTCAGGCTGCACTACTGCCCAGTGAAGAGGCACGACCCAAATCCTCTAAAGAATAATATTTAGAGAGGCTCTGGGGACCTGGCAGCCAGAGAGAAGAAAAAGGCGGGGGACCCTGACTGATCCGGCCTGGGCCCCAGTTCCCACCCCTAAGCACCACTGCACCAGACTCAGACAGCTGGGCCCCGCAGCTGGAAGAGCCAGCTAGAGGGGAAGCCCTTGCCTGGCCCACAGACACAGCTGATGCTGGTGAGAGCAGGCACAGGCAGCAGAGCAGCCTTGGCGCAGCTGGGATCTTGCCCCATGTGCCGGGGTCAGCTGGCCTGAAGCCCCTCTGCCTGGTACGCAGCTTTGATTGCCAGGCCATGCCCTATCCCAGTCTAGGAGATGGGCACTGAGTCAAGTCCAGGGACTAGAAGGGAAGGACTTGAGCATTCAGGGTCCCTCGCCCAGCACAGCCTTGCCTCCAGGCTGGCCTCCATCTCCTTCCCCACCAGAGAGGTGGAAGCAGCATTCTCTTCCTCATGTGGCCAGCACTTTAAAGTTTACAAAGGTTGGTGGTAGACATCCACTCCTTTGGTGGTCTCAACAGCCCTGGCAGAGAGATGCGTTAGACCCACTCTACAGAATGGGACTCTGAGGCTCAGAGGGAGTGAGGCCACTTGTCTGAGTCCTCGCAGTGAGCCGGTGGTAGGGAGGAGAAGGGGCTCATCAGGCTGCCTCGCTGACCCATCAGTCAGTCCCTGGATCAGCCCAGCACTTCCTCCGAGGCTGCATCTGGCCCCATCCAGGCACCCGGGGTAGGCAGCCTGCCCTCTCGGGTGAGTGCAGCCCTCATCTCTTCATCTTCTTTGCCTCTAGGGGCAAAACATAGGCCTTGGTTTCCTGGAGCAGATGCCCAAGTAGCTTGGGCCTCAGTTTACTCACAGACTTGGCAATACGAGGGCAACCCAGACCTTCTGCCCCTCCACTCCACCTGTCATTTGCTCTTTCCTAGATCCTTGCAGAAGCCTCGGTACCGGTTTTCCGGCCTCCAGTCTCACCTCCACGTGACGCACCCATCCTCAGTCTCCTGCTCCCAATTACCCTACGGTGTTTCGTGGTTGAGTCTCTCAGTGTTTCCCCCACCCACTGCCTCCTTCAAGGTCCAGTCCAAATGTCATCAGATCCAAGAAGCCTCCCTCAGTTCTCTGCCCTGAGAGGCAGCTGCTCCCTCCCAGAGCTCCGCACACTCCTGGTCCCCTTGCAGGACGGCCTGGTGGCATTTCTGTCTCCACCATCGCCTATAAGCTTCTCCCAGCTCTGTGTCTCCAGGCCCCAGCCAAGGACTGGCATACACAAGCCCTTGGGAATGAAAAAAACAATTCTGTTTAAACACGTATTATATAAAAGGAAACAGAAAAGGCAAGAAACCAAATAGCACAGACCATGGCTCATTGTGCGTTGGTGAATGGACTAAGAAAGAAAACATGCGGGCAGGCTGCATACCCCGGGTGCCTGGATGGGGCCAGACGGGGCCTCAGAGGAAGTGCTGGGCTGATCCAGGGACTGACTGATGGGTCAGCGAGGCAGCCTGATGGGACCTTTCTCCTCCCTACCACCGGCTCACTGCGAGGACTCAGACAAGTGGCCTCACTCCCTCTGGGTCTCAGAGTCCCCTTCTGTAGTGGGTCTAAGGCATCTCTCTGGCAGAGCTGTTGAGAACACCAAAGAAGTGGATGTCTACGACCAACCTTTGTAAACTTTAAAGTGCTGGCCACATGAGTCTTCTTTTCCTCCATCCACAAACCAGACTTTTGTTCAACCCAAATCCTTTCCTAGAGCACCTCCATTCTCTCTTTGAGTTCCCTAAATGCCACCCACCCGAAGCCTCTCCTTCAGGAAACTTGGTCTAATCCCAAGTCCATGTACATATCTTTCCTCTCTCCTCCACGCACAGACCCTTAGAGCACCGCAGCAGAAAGAGCAGATCACCTCTGCCCCCTCCTGCCCTCTCTGGGCCTCATTTTAGAGCCTTTACACAGCTAGGTGGTGGAGGAAACTATGTCCAGCTGGGACCCACGCGCGTGTGCATGCACACACACACACACACACACACTCAGTAAGCTGGGGGAGGAAGGTTGGCTGAGTGAGGAGCTGAATTCCTTCACCTGGAACCTGGCACATGCATGGGGAAGGGAGGGGTGGAATTTCCCCATCAACCTCCCCAAGTGGCTCAGGGTCCATTGTGGGTAGAAGCAGCTTTCTGTGGAAAGACCTTGCGAAGTGTGCGGAGGCAGACAGACCTGAGTTCAGATCCTGGGCCCACCATGTATTGTGTGAGCCTGGGGGATCGTGGCACCTCCTGAGCCTCAGTTTCCCCATCTGCTCAGTGGGGGCCTCCTAGGTGAGGGTTAAACCCCAGAGGAAGCACCCTGGCTCCTAACTGTATTTCCATCTCCCATCTGCTCCTGAAGTCTTCACCAGGGGAGACCGTCTCTACTGGCAATAGGAATCAGGATGGTTCCCAGACGGCTAGAGGCTGGAGAAAGGGAATTCATTTCCCCTTGATGCCTGTGGCTTCCTCCCAAAGAGGCCCCTGTAGGAAACAGCAGGGCTGCTGGGCGCGGAGGCTGCTTAGACATCTGGGGGCCCAGAACAGGTGAGGGGGATGGATAGGGACTGTCCCTTCTCCCCACGTCGGCACCAGATCCCAGTTTGCCGTTTCCCCTAAAAGAACTCGATAGCCCATTAGCCAAGGCTACACCCCCGGGGGGCTTCAGAGAGCTCCCATCCCACCAACAGACTCAGCCTCAGTCCCCTTGCTCAGGCACCGCGAGCAGAAAGGGGAAGCTGGGCCCGCTGGAGGGGAGAGGAAGGAGTCGAAGCAGGCCAGGGGCACAGGATCGGGAGTTACCGTGGGGAGAGATGGGGTCGCCTACCTGGCGTGGGCGCCCCGGGGTCCGCGAGCAGGACCGGGGGCAGCTGCAGTAGGAGCAGGAACAGCGAGAACCGGAGCAAGAGACTCCCTGCAGCGGAGAGAGACGAGGGGCTGAGCCTGGCATTCAAGGCTCCGCTAGGAGGCCAAGAAAATTCCTGGGCACGCGGGGAACGGGGGTCGCACTCACGGCTCATGGCGCGGCTGCTGGGGTGCGGGACGCAGACTGCAGGCTCCAGTGCGTGCGCCTCGCACACTGCCCGGAGCTCTGGCCCATCCTTCCCAACTCTTCCCCCGGCTCCACCCCCGCCCCCTCCCTCCAGCTGTCACCTCGGCCGCCCGCTTACTTCCTCTGCCCAGCCCGGCCAAGGCATTTTATTAATTAGTGTATGATCGTCACTAAGGCGGCTTTTCACCCGAGATCCTTGAAGCCCTTGAGTTTCTAATGCCTGGTGGCACTAGATATAGACAGGAAACTGAGGCTCAGAGTCATGCTCAATGCTGAGGTCACCCAGGGCCTGGGGACAGAACTGAGGATGGAAACTGCTGGTCTGAACCACACACTCTGCCCCGCAGAGAAGAAAGGGGGCCAGAAACGGGGCAGTCCAGCCTGGTGTGCACGTGGTTTCCTGGACAAGAAACTCACTAGTCCTCAGACAGAGCTAACAGAAATACTTACTTCCCCCATGGGCTGGTCTGGGCCCTCTGAAAGCACATTTCTCTGCCATAAATGAAGAGATAGGGCTCCAAAGTCCATGAGAGCCTAGTTCAAATCCAGACTCCACAGCTTACTGGCTGTGTCACAAGGTACTTATCTTTTCTAGCCCTCAGTGTTCTCATCTGTAAAATCGGCTCAATAGCAAAAACCATCCCAGAAGGTGGTTGTAAGATTCAATTAGGTAGTACACACAAATCTCCTGGTGCAGGGCCCAGCATGTAGTAGATGCTCAGTTATCAGGAGGCATTTTTTCAAAGATCTCTGAACTCAGATTCCGGGGCTTGCCAGGGTCCATGCTGTAGCCGGGCTCACATCCACCACTGAATTTACAGAATCCCAGCATCCAACTCCCCTCTCCTCCAGCTCAGGAAACACCTAGGAGGAAGGCATAGGCCCAGAGTCATCCACGGTCTCCTGGTCCTGGCACCCACAAGTCCTCTCCCTGTTTCTCCAGCACAGCCAGCCATCCTGTGGGTCCCACAGTGGAGAAGGCAGCAGGAGGGCTCAGAGTTTCTTGTGCTGGCTGCTGGGTATCACTGGGTGCAGGGTAGAAATTATATCAGATGGGAGAGGTGAGACCTGCTGGGAAGCCCCTCCCCATTCTCATCCAAGCTGTTCCCATGCTCCCCTGGGAGAAAAGCCAGCTGCCCTAGGGAGACAGAGCAAGCCAGGGCAAACCTCGAGAAGGAGTGGGGCAGGCAGAGGGCGTGGGGCTCTCAGGGTGCCCAGACCAGCTTCAGCCTTCCCTACCAGGGCAAGGAGACGGGATTATCAGCAAAAGGGTTGGTGACAGGGTGGAGGTGTGGGGTTCAGTTGTCCAAAGAAAGGGGGACTTTCTGGTAAGAAGAAAGGAGAGATGGGCTTGAATGAGGTTCCATCTTCCACTCCCAGGCCTCCCTCCTTTTGGGCCCTGCGCCCATCAAGTCACCACACCTGTGCCTCCTGCTGACGTCCAAGCCACCCATCTGCACTCAAAACAAGAAACACTTGTGTGGCCTCAGCACTGATGGGAAGAGCCTTCCCGCCTCAGAATCAGAAGTGAGTCCAAGTCACTTCTTCCATGTAGTGACCATAGACAAGCCTCTAGGCCTCACTGGGCCTCTGTTTCTCACTTGAACAACAGAATGAGCAGATCAGATGGCCTCTGAGAACTGGTCCAGTTCCAGCATGGAGCAATTGAGGCCTCACTGTGGTCAGGCTCTGTGACCAGCACTGCAGATGTCAACACAGCTGCGATGCAGGAGAGGACAGAGTCTCAAAGAGCAGGCAGGGTGCTGGGGCAGCCCTCCAGGGATGGGGCTGGACCAAGAGCACAGAGTCGGGAGAAGTTAGATGAGAGAAATGGTGGCAGAAGTGCCAGGGCTTGGTGACCGATTCGCACTAGAGCTTAGGGGAAGAAGGGTACTGAGGACACCTAGCTTTCTGGCTCAATGCTGGTGGTGACACCCAGGGAAGGGGAGCTGGCATGGGTAGATGGAATTTGAATTTGGGCTTCTTGTGTTTGATCCACCTCAGGGGATGAGGAGGATCAAACCTTCCCTGCCTTCTCCCAGCTTGGCCTGTGGGCCAGCACCCCCAACAGTCCCAGCATGCAGCTGGATACACAGGGGAGAGGTCTGGGGTAACCCTTGGCCCAGCCCTGGGAAAGAGACCACAGCACAGGGCCACTTTTGCCTGCTCCTTACTGCAAAGCCTATAGTCTAAGTGTCTAGGACTGGTGTAACCATGCTAGTCCTCAGTATGGTGAGCTTCTACTCATAGGGCAAGTCCACCTCCCGTGTCCCCGGGGAGGCCTCCTCTAACACCCCTCCTCCTCCCCTTTCTCTCTTCTAGGAAGCCCCTGTGCCTTCCCTAGCCACAGCAGTGCCACTCCTGACCACATTGTCCCTCTGCTCCCTGCCTCCCCTTATGAGGCTATGAGAGTCTTGGTCAATCTTGTAGCCCCAAGGCCAAGCATAGGATCTGGCAGATAAAAGACATTCAGCTTATGTTGTTTGCTTGAACAAAGAAATGAGTGAGTATCTGCAGGAGTTGTGAATGCATTAAAAAAAACAGACCAGGTCCGGGGCCAGCCTCATCGAAGTGACTGCCAACCCACCATATGCTGTGACGACCACCAAAAGTATCACTGACTGCCTCAGTTTCCCTGCCTTCTCCAGCTTGTCCCATGGGCCAGCACCCCCAACTATCCCACAGGCCCAGCTTCACCCCAGGCCCTGAGCCCTCCCCAGCTAAGGCAGCAAGGACTGCCTTCCCTACACCCCACTGGTGACAAGCGGTAGGATTTCTCTCTGCATAGCCCCCTCCCCATTATCCACACCAATCACGTGCCCTCCTGCTCACCCTAGCTAGAGCCTGAATTGTAATGCTTCTGGAGAGGTCTCACTCCTGCTGGGCCCCACCCACTATGTGGAAAACCAGAGCTGACTCTCACCTGAATCACTCATGGACCCAGCCCCACCCGGCCCCACCTCTGCAGGCAGCTTCACAGTCAGGCAAGAAGGCTCTGGACTCAGGATTCTCTCTTCAAATCCCAGTCCCCATCCCCACCCAACCTCTCAGTGTGACCTTAAGCAGCAAACTGCCCCTCGTGGGCCTCAGTTTCCCCATCTGTAAAAATGGGGTTAATAATGCCACTCTTGAAAGAGTTGTTGTGAGGATGAGGTAAGCTGGTCCTCGTGAGCATCCCCAGCATTCAGTAGGAGCTCTGGCCCTCCCTTCTACTTCCTACCTGAGCAAGAGGGTTCCATGAAAAACTCCCTTCCCCCTCCTCTTTACCTACTCAGAACCAGGCTAATGTTGACCATTGTAGGTAATAATAACAATAATATTTCTTGAATATCTACTATGTGCAGAACAGAGTGCTATGTGTTTTAAATGCACAGTTACATGTGATTTTGCTCAACAACCCTATGAAGTCGGTATTATCACTTCCATTTACAGAGAAAGAGACTGAGGCCCAGTGCTGACACAGTTTGTCCAAGGGAAGAGTCAGGTTTCAAGGCCCCACCCTTTGTTCTGGAATACCAGGTACGTGCACCCAAGCCCCCGCCTAACCAACCAGTGTTTGGCGTTAAAAGGAAGCGGAAATGCTCTGTTAGGGGGTTAGTTGGCTTGTGGGCAAGGTGGGGGGATCCGATTTAGGCAACATAGTTCAGCTGAGAAGCTGAGAACTGAGAGTCACAAACAAATGTTTTGGTTTTGTTTTTGTTGTTCCGTTTTTGAGTCAGGGCCTCATGCTGTTGCCCAGGCTGGAGTGCAGTGCTGCGACCTTGGCTCACTTCAGCCTTGATCTCCTGGCTCAGGCAATCCTCCTATCTCAGCCTCCTGAGTAGCTGGAACTACAGGTGCACATCACTATGCCCAGCTCATTTTGTTTTATTTGTTTTTCATAGAGACGGGGGTCTCACTATGTTGCCCAGGCTGGTCTTGAACTCCTGGGCTCAAGTGATCCTCCCACATTGGCCTCCCAAAGTGCTGGGATTACTGGCGTGAGCTTTCTCACTGAAACCCTCACAGTAGCTGGAAGAAGAAGGCATCATGATCTCCATTTTGCAAAAGAGGAAAATGAGGCTCAAAGATTTCCCTAGATTATGCAGAGAGGGTGGTTAAAACTCCGCCCACCCTTCTTAATGGGCCCAGCCCCGGGAGATTTCCACTTTACATTTCTTTCACTGAAAGCGTGTCATTAAGAAGGGTGGACGGAGTTTTAACCACTTCTGGAGTGCTTACCATGGCGGACATCATGCTAAAGGTTTTTGGTGCTTCACTTTCTTTATCACTAACAGCCCCATGAGGTAGATTTTCCTCTGTCCCCATTTTTGTAAACAGGAAAATTAACTGACTTGCTATAGCCTATACCACAGGCTATATATAGGTGGTAGAGTTGGGATTTGAGCCCTGGCCTGTGTGATTTGAACATTTACAAACATAACTCTCTATTATACTCATCACTGGTTCTCTTGGATCCTAAACCCTGAATACTTAAACAAACACCCAAATCCTGCAGGGGATGGGCCAAGAAAATAAACAAGCAGGAGACTGTAAGTGGAGAGTCCCCAAGTTCATCTGGGGAGTTTCCACTGCAGGGTCCCCTGTCCCGCAGACCTCTGCACTAGGCAGCCAGCATCATCTGATTGGCACAGGATGGCCGAGTGGTCATGCCACGGCATCCTCCCCAGCCGGCCCCCACCATCAGTGTAATCTGCAGAGCATCAGACATCAGCTCCGGGGATCAGGGAACCCAGGGCCATCTGTGACGGACAAACCAGGGGAAAGAGCCATTGTCTGGCTAAAGGACATTGCTCAGGGAGTTGCTGGGGCTGTAAAATATCAGTCCTCACACCCCCTTCCTTCTCCACCATAGCTGAAGGAAGAGGATGTGTTTCCACAGCTCTCCCCTGGCATGTGGAACACTCTCCTAATTCTGCTTAGAACCTTCAATAGCTCCCATCATCCAGACCTCAGCCTGGTCTTCAGACCCTGGCACTTGCTAAGCAGCAGGATATCATAGAAAGAGCCCTGGAATGGGGACCCAGTCAATCTGGTTTCTTGTAACATGACTCCCTGAAATTACTGTG